CTAACTTATTAGCAATATATATATATACAGGATTTATGTAGAATGGATAGAGAATCATTCGCAAATTTGAAGTCACTGTGAAGTTTATCATTAAAAAAGTCAAATGGTTCCAATAAACAATCATCTTTGAAGGTCAACTTTATCATGGGAAAAGTTTCTAACTACAGACTTGCCAAATTGAGTTCCTTTTATCAGCTTGCACGCTCGACGAAAGCTTATTTCACAATGACTAATTTATGCGATTCACGATGATTAATTTCCCATTTTACTGACCTGAACTGACCCAAATGTTGCAATGTGTAGTTGTTTCGTATTAAATCAAGTGACATTACTTTTTGGTAAAACAACAAACATTTTATGTATGTCTGTGTGTTTATATTAGTATGCATTCTTTTGATCAGTGCTAAAAAAAAAAAGAAAATATGATCTAATGATCAGATTTTCGTGTACTATATAATCCTGTTCATCAAATGTGTGCACGGTTTAACTGAATTTTTTGCATTCAGGTTTAGTTAAATTTGGAACAGGATTAATACTTTTACTGGAACAGTGGTAGAAAGTGGGAAAGATATGAGGAGATGAGCTTAGTGCTCAAAATTATGTTTATGTATTATAGTACTTACCTTAGATGACCAGTTTGATCTCTTTTAAGGGCACCATATTTTGTGTTATCTGAAACTGAAAAATAAAACGAATTTGTTCACTATATATTCAAACAAAAGCCAATTGCATAGTCTTTAGTATTGATTCCTTAATTTAAAATTTTTTATTGTTTAATTGCTGAATTCCTTTTTTCTTTTATTCATTCCAAAAACAAAAAAAAATCTTATTGTATTTTAACTAAAATAAAATCCTTATTTCTTCAGATAAGAGTATTTTTTAGTCTTTATTACCCACCAACAATATCTGAAATAAAATAATAAAATTACTTCATTATGATTCCACTGTTTCCAACCAACTATACTTACTAATCCTGTATGTGCTATTCATTAGTTTCTATCCATTCCTAATAGTTTTAAAAGTGAAATAGCAGAAGATTTGTTGAACTATACAATGAATGATTGAAATAATTCCAGAGATATGCTGTCTTAATTTAGACATTAATACCCTACTACCTTTTTCAAAGAGTTTGAGTTTACACCATTCCAATGAAAATATCAATACATGACTAATATTTCATGTAATCATTGATAATAGACAATTGACAGTTACATTTTGAGCGAAACTCAAGTTGGCAATGTTTTTAGTGGCATATATTTCTGTTTAGTCAAAATAAGAACTGGGGTAACAAGAAAAATAGATGTTTATGGTAATTATCAGCTTTTTATATCTTAGTTTTTCTGTGCGTTGAGAGGTCTATTATAGAACTGAATGAGACTGCATGATTTATATCTTTATTTTTAAAATTTGTTATGGAAGAGAAAGTTAATGCATTGTAGTAATAAATTCATTAAAGAATAAAATTAAAGTTTGAAAGCATGTGACTGCTAACTGCATATTTCTTAAATAATGCAGTGCTTTTAAAAAAGCAAAAGGAATGTAAATTTTGTTAAAAAACAGTAGTTCAGAGAAATGTATTTCTGAACTTGTGTAAGTTCCCTCCCCCCTCTCTCCAGAAAAGTGGGTAGATATGTTATTGTTGTTATGTTTTAAAAGGGGATCTAAAACCTTTTTAAGAATGTAAGTCGTAAGTTAAGTAAATATTAGTTTTTATTTTTATATTTTTTTTTATTTTTTACTTTTATATTTTCTTATCACTGTCATCTAATTTTCTGCATTCTATAGATGTAGTAATAGTTAGTTTTTTATAATAAAATCTTTTCCCCATAATTTTAGTACCTGACTTGCAAACTACCTGTACATTTTAAATATTTTTTTTCTCCTTTCAGCTTATTTTTCTCAATCTTCATGATAGTTGGATATTAAGATGCTGCTAAACACATGTTAAATGGAATTGTAGAAAGATTTTGCATTCTTTTTCATGTAATCTTTTTCAATAAATGTGAAATTGTTTCTTTTTATTTAATGTCTTGATTTTCTCAATCACAAAAACTTTTTGTCGAAAAATATGCCATACTTGCCTGCACTTTGAAGTTATGCCTGCAAAAAATCAGGGTTAAATTTAAATCATAATCAAAATCTCGCTTTATGTCACTTAATTTTTTTTATTTTATAAAAATCACGGATTTAAATAAACTACGATTTTTTTTTAAAAAAAGAAATCATTTATAAACTTAAAGCAATAAACTTTTTTTTAAATAAATCATTAACTCTGAGAATGTTTTATATGATATTACTTATCTTTTCTTTAGGTTGAGATTTTTTTACTGTCTAATTTTATTGATAACGAAAGTTTATTCAAAGAAATAATGAAAGGGGCCGTGTAAATTATATTTTGAAATAGACTATTAAATAAAATAAAAGAAACTGAAAGTTTAAAAAAATAGTGTGAAATTTTTAAATAATTTTGAATTAATTGTATGTAAAATAATTTGCTAGTAATAAATATATTTCAATTATATCTACTTAGTTTTATGTTTATTCAATTACAAGTGTTTTAAAACATATTAAATATTTAGTTAGTTTATATCAATAATAAAGAAAGACTTGTTCTGCTCAGAGAAACTTTTTTTTTCACTAATTTATTCTGATCTAATTTACATTTAAAGTTTTGAATGTTTAGGTTGAATGAAAATAACCATTAGCTAATTTATTCAGTGATTAGTTTGTAATAATTGAATGATTTTAAACATTTCAGTTAGAAATATTAACCATTTAAGCTATATTGTTTTTCAATAATATTGAGTATTATTAATACGTTTTATCAGATTTGAATCCTGATTAAAAAAATTTGATTTAAATCAACTAAATCCGATTTTTTTTTTTTAAAAATTGTGATTCGTGGTAACCTTGCAAATCATACTAATGATGAATAATATACAAAAATGTTGAAATTTGATTGTGAAATTATTAAATGGTTAAAAAAGCTGTAACTTGAAAAATATTGTAGGATCTCTTCATCTTTAAGCAAGCTTTTCAATTTTAAGCTTTAAATTTATAACGACTGCCAATAGAATTTTTTAATCCAAATTTTTACTGGCACTTAAATTATGGTATAAAAAAAAATCAATTTTTAAAATCAGATCCACCCTTTTAAAATTTAAATCAGACATGTTAAATAAATTAATCAGATGTTGGAAAACATAATTTAGTGTAAACTTGTATAATTGACTCATTACTAAAAGTACTAAATTTATTCTCTATATTTATGCTTTTTCTGTATGCCATTACAAATTAGTAAAAAATATTTTACCTCTAATCTCTAAAAGCACAATAAATTAATATTGCAATATTTTTTGCTTGATTTTGAATATTGACACCCTGATTGTAAGAGAAGTATTCTAAAATCATTTCCTACAATTTTTGACAAGATAATTGAATGTCTCATATATCTTGAACTTCTTTTTAAATTGAAAAAGAGATGGGAAAGAAATCTAGGAGGTCTGGTTTCAATTAAAATTTCATGAATTGTGAGCCTAAAGCTAGTTAAATTAAAATGGATTGAATGCATTGCTTAAAATAACACAAGGGTATAATGAGTTCAAAGCGACACAACAATATAGTCAAGAACCTATTTTTTTGAATAAATAAAGAATGGAAGAGGTTAAAAAGGAAATTTATATTGTTTATAATTTATGGAACATGCAGATTTTGTCTGTCGTTTTTTATTGAAAGTGGAAAGCAACTTGCGAAATCTTTTCAGTAGCTGCTGATTAAAAGCAAGCTTTTTGAATGTTCTGTAATAACGACTGTGGTATCTCAGCGATACGGTATTGCTCGGTTAAAGACGGTATAGCCAAAACATTCTCCGAAGACTGGGGCAAAATCGTACGTCAACAACGATAAGGATCGGTATTTTAAGAAAGCAGAAACTTCACAATTAAAGCCACTTTATTGTAACAGCACTGGTACCAGAGTTTCGACTAGTATTGTTTCAGACAAACTTTCTTCAAACAGACTTTTCTTCATGGGGAACCCTTGTGCTGAGCTGAGCAGCCTGCTCTTTTTACAGCTAAGTCCTATAAGTGAGCAACCTGATAATAAGTGTGACATTACTAACTGGAGAGAGTGTTGCTGACTTTTTACTGATGAGCAAAATGATGTGAGTTTTATTTTGTATTTATATAAACATTTCAATTGCGATCACAAGATCTCACATAAAGATAACACTTTTACTGAAGTTGATTAAAAATTATTATTATTTTTTTTACGCTACAATCAAGAGGATTATGTTAACATCACTCTCTGCTTCATCCGCATTTTTTTTCATAGCATATTGGTCTCGGCTTAAATCATTTATAAGAATTTTTTAAATAAAAGTATGAACTGCATAGCTCAAATTAGCGTAAATCAATGCCTTCGTATCATGCAATGGAAGTTGTAAACGCCTCTTATAGTGCTGCCATTTGTTGATAGTAGAGAGAATCACTGTCAGGAATAAGTTGAATAGAGATGATATCCTAAAATATTTCGCTGTTTCTTATATTGCAGCGTTTTATGTTTTTTTCCCTGAGAAATCACATTCTTTACAGCTTTTATAACCATTTAATAAGTGTATTTTTTTTAGCGACAAGTATCGTCAATAAAATTGGATTATTGTTTTATTTTATTATCTCTTTACTTACAGCATTTATACAAAATAAACAGTGCGCGAAGTAAAAAGTGAACAGCCTGAAAAACTTTTAATCTAATAAACGGATTTTTACGTAGACTCAAACTTAATGGTTCGTGAAGGTACTTCAAATATGCTAATTATTTATTGGATTCTTGATCATAAAATATTTGGGGTGATGTGTGTGCATAATATGGAAATTTCGGAACTTAGCCAAACTAAAACTTCTGCTCATTAACTTCATTTAAGCAAAGATAAGTTCAGGCAAAAAAAATATTAATATTTAGAAATGTTTGAATTGCAGAAATTTTTACATTTTAAAGAATTTAATTTTAAGTGACAAAATACATGCTTTAATAACTGAGAAATTATTTGACCAATTGCTTTCAAATTAAGTATTTTGCCATTTAAATTTGTATTCTTCGCCATTTAAAATTGCATTCAAATGATAAAAAAGATCTGTATACCTTACAATTTCAAGTTTTTCGTTCAATATTAAATATTAAGCTTGGATCTGGTGTGTGTAGAAGTTTTTCTTGTTATGCATTAGAATTATCGAGATTAAGTTTGCTGGCGCATTACATGCGAATGTGTAGAATATACAATGCGAAGTTTGTATATTCTACGACTTGCTGGAGTCTGAAATCTGGTTATCATACGTCTTGTTAATTATCATTTAAAATAATTCATTTTGCTTTATTCCATCGATTGGTCTATTTTTTTGCATACTGTTGCTGAAACGTAAAGGTGTAGCAAGACGTTATGACCAAGAATTTTATGCGTGTAGTTTCATTTTACTATCTTTTCTATTCTGTATATTTTACGGAGCCCAAAAGCGGTTTAGATAGAATGTTGCGCTCATGGAGCAGAATAGGAACTGAATCGATCCTGTCTTCGCGTAGACAAGGTCTTCTAAGTTATGTCTGGTAACAGATGGTGTTTGTAATTTTACATCACAAAGGCTCGAACTATATTTTTCTAGAGTACCTTTTTTAACTCACTGTTCGACTTTGTTGTATACTGAAACATATAGCTGGAAATAAATTTATATATTATTGTTAATCCTACACTAAAGATGATTTTTATTTTAAAGACATTTTTATTTAATTTTTAATTGGAAATAAAACCATGGGAAAATTGTCCACAAGGAAAATGGAATTTATTTCTTTGTATTCTTTAAATGGCACTTGAATTTCTTAAAAAGGCACAGGAAAAATTACTTAGGAGTGGAATTGTTTATATGAAGTGAGGTGCCTAGAAGTTAGAATGTAGTAATTGAATTTTTTAAAGAGTAAAAAAATAAGTTTTACCTATTGAATTTAAGATGGCATAATTGATAAACAACATACATGTTTATTTTTTAAAATGTTTCTATTTTTTAAACTTATTTTTAAATAATAAAATTTTTATTTCATAAAATACTTTTTTGAAAGGGAACAAGGACGAGACAAAATTTTTCTTTTCTTCTTCCAAACCTAAAACAAAAAACGTATTTCACAGCCGGTGGTGATAAGAAATTAATTCTGAAAGTGTTATCCGACGTTTTTCGTTTTTGGGCTGACAAAAATGAAATTATTTCATTTCTCTTTCAATACTTTAAAGTCGTAGTTCTCTGAAATTTTTGTTTTGTTTCATTATTTTCTTCTTTATAGTTTTGTGTATATGTCAGAAAATGGGTGTAATATACCTCATCCTCACAAGTCACATAAAAGAGGTAATAAAAACGTTGTGAAAGGTATTGCTAATACAAGACTTCATTAACGTATGTTTCGACTTAGCAGAGACAAATGCAGGCGAATTTCTAGAGAGAAAAATTTAAAGGATTAGACGCTCCCAAGCCAGTGACCTGGGGTGGAGAGTATGTGCCAATCGGCATGAAGTCTCAGACGTATAGTTTGTCTAAAGTAAGAACTCCTCTAGTCATTCGTCTGGACCCGTGGCTGTAACTATGGAAACGAGGTATACACATTTCAAGGGGTGTGGGATCATTGTTTAGAACTGGTTTTGGCTCGGGTCGGCGAGAGACGGCTTTCAAGAGAACTCCTCCAGACACCCGTCTCGCGTCGTGGCGGTTACTATGGTTACGAGGAAAGGTCACTTCGAATAGGGGTGTGGGGTAAATAGTTTTGTCTTAATCTTTGCGTAGGTCGTCGTAAGTAAGCCAATCGACACCTTTCCGCCATTTAACCCCCATTAGAAATGTGCTCTCGCTTGTTACCATAGCAGCAAACAGCCCCAGACTTTCAGTCTGGTGGAGTTCTTCTCAAAACCGCACTGTATCCTCCTTTAAATGCGCTATTCTTGTTTTCATAGCAGCAGACGGCCTCGGACTTTGTGGAGGGGGGAGTT